CTTTAAGAATGCCGCAGTTGCCCTAAACCAGCTACATACTGGAAGGTGACCTATAAGTTTTCCACAGAGAGAGAATGTATTATGACAAGTGATAACAGTTGGAATATCTGAGAACTTACTCCCTTGTTTCTATCAAAGCACACTGCACTCCCCCAAGAATTGCAAACCAAACACTTTTGCACCATCGTTGAGTCTCACAGGGTCCTTGTAGATCAGTCCAAAGTCAAATTTATGCTTTCTGATGTGTGCCACACTTTCACCGATGAAAATGTCATCTATGTATGCTGAAGTGGCATCTTGGATTGCTTCATCCTGCGCCAGTACTATCTTGATAATTGCCTTCATTATAAGAGGTGCCACATTGAGACTGAAGCCTAATCATGTAAGACAGTACCTCTGCCCTTTCAGTAAGGTGCTCTGGAAAGGCCACAACAACCAGTGTACATGGACCTGTAGGTACTCCCTCCGAAGGTTCAATATATATACAGTGTGCCTGTGTTGTTGGCATTCCCTTAGCTTGTCTGCACAGACATGCACAAGCCAGCATACGGTCACTCATCCCACCCAACAAGAATGCGAGTTTCTTCAATTCAGCCAGGTATACATCCACGGATTAGCAGTACCGCAAACACCAGTCAATGAGCTGTTTATACATCATAAACAAATCTATAACTAAGGCAGTCTTTATCTGGTCAACGTTGGATTTTGCTTTGTCATCCAGTTGTTGATAAAAGGCAAATGCTATGCCCATAAGTCTCAAAGGGATCACTTGTTCCAAAGACTTCACTCCACATAGCCTGCAAACGAGTTCCAGCTTCTCTATCTATTCAACAACTGGAAGATCAGACACTGATCCATCAAACTTTAAATCAAATTTGAGGTCTGCCATCATCCTTCAATCGCCAAAATAGCTTGTGCTGATCTTGTCTGGTTTTTACACATCCGCATGTTGAGACTGCCTCTTTCAACTGAGAAAAAAAACTGGTGTTATATAGCTCTCCCAGTCCCAGACCCAGACCCACGCTGTCTATTAGCCAATGCCTGCCCAGTATCATTCATATGCAAATAGTCATCACCACCTACTTCTCTCAACAGCCTATTGTGGAAGAGGATGCAACTCCTGGTGCTTATAGCACCACATGCAACCAACTCGGAGTCTTTTATCGGGCAGACCCAATTCTGTGTTACAACATCTTTCAGCTTCTATTATAAGTTGTTAAATATCTTCTGTAAGACAGAACTTACGAAACAGGAAAGTTTACTTCACTCTTTCTGAATAGATTCTTAAATTAAAATGAGTTAGATTTTTGTGTCTCATTGGACTTGCACAATCTACTTTAGCAATTCATGGTATTGTTGAATTCAAAGTACAATGTGTTCAGGAGATCATTTCCACAAGCAGTACCTCTCTCATTACAGTAAGAAGTGGTTCAATGCCTAAGAAATCCTAGTAGAGAAGATTCAAGGTAGCTGAACAATTTTTGCTACAAATCCCGTCTATGTGTTGGTTTCTCTCTTTCAATGCTTGAGTGGGAGTGATAGAAGTAACTCCACCTTCACACTTTTTGGTTAAGTTTTGATTTAATGTAGAATATGCTTGGCTCCCTGGAGCCATATTCCAAGCAGTATCTCTCCCACTGCACTAAAAGGGGAAGAGTCAGGGTCAATCCCTGATGTTGTAGGCATTTCAGTAAAAAAAAGTACTGAGAGTGGCTGTGCAATTTTTGTTACTAATTTGGTGTAATTAACACGTGGGATTTTCACTTTAAATTTGGCCACATTCCATAATTCATTTTGGGTGGGTGTTTGTTTGTGATACACAGAAACTTTTGTAATCTACCTGGTGAGCTTATTCTATGATGATTCTAGAAATTCACTCTTGTAATTTGAACATTTTACTTTTAACAACTAGAAACCATATTCTGGTTGATTATTTCATAAAAGTTTTAGATTTTTATTTTTTGTCTTTATCATGCTTTTTCATGGTATTATGATGGCTATGTGATAATGTAAAAACAAACATTTTAAAGAACTAATGTAGTTTTTATTTTTTCTTAAGGTTAATAGAAACAATCCAAAGATAAGTTATCGATTCATCTGGGGTTTAATAGTATTTAGTCAATTTTACAGTACATGATGAATGAAATAAAGTCTAGAATTATGATTATCAATTTTATAACTACAATAAGCTACAGTAAAAGCTTGAATTGTATTTATTTATTAGTTCATTTAGTTTCCAGTAAAATTCAAACACCATAATCAAATTTCATTAGGTGAATTAAATGTTTACATTTAATAAATAAAATGGCATTTACTCCAACACACAAAGAAGCCCTTTTTGACTTTTTTGGCCAATTAGTATAAAAATATTTCTAACAAGAAGTGTACTCTTTTTATATTTAACAAACTTCATATAGGGAGAAAATGTGGAAAAACGGAAGTTGACATTGTTGTATTGTAGCACTCTTTCAAATGGGAAGTATCTGTCAACCTTTGAAAATTACTATCTTGACTTTTTCCTCAGATTGAACATTATTCAGCAGCTGGCTAAGTTGGAATATGCTCAAATTTCTCACCCACTAAGCAGACCACTTGTGAGAATTCAAATAGAATCTCACTCCAAAATACCTTATTGAACTAGCAAGCTAACTGCCTTACTAACAAGTTGTATTACAGAAATAAAGAGAAAGTTAACATTTTATATACATGTTTCTGGAATATCAGGAGAACTTCTATCAGTGAAGAAAACATTGATAGCAGAGCATAATTTAGAAAGTCAAAATGATATCAGGCTATAAAAATCCACCAAAATTTGAAGAGAAGTATTATTCCTGGAAAAATGAATAAAATCTTGGCTGCTCATGGTGGACCTAGATAACGAGCAGCAGTCACATTTATCACCTACTGGTAAAGCTACTGAAACACTATAAAACTAAGGATCTTAATTAGGAGAACTTCTGCACTTAATTTATTCATGAAAGAATTGACTGATAGTTCTAAGGAAACATACAAAATGTTTATGGTTTTTGACAACCAGAGACTATGCTTATATCAAATTGTGAGATTCAAACAAAGGTATAGTAAAAACACTAAATATAAAATTACTTTGTCTGATTTGATATTAGCTTTCAAATTATCAGACAATGCCAATCTCAATCATCAACAACAGCAGCCCTAACTGCAATCATAACTACACATATGCAGTACAAGAATATGATATCAATCTTGAAAAATATATTTAGTAAAAATAGTTGTAGACATCCAAATAAAATAAAAGCGGACTCAATTATTAAACAAGTGATACCAATATATACTGAATAAAATCAAAGAAAATATAAAAATTCTTAAATAATTCAAGACAAAAATGAAGGTAACAAATTTTCTGAATAAATATGGTAAACCCACTAAATGTCGGATATATCAATGTGTACTTCATTGGTGGAGAAAATGTCCACATAGAACTTATTCATAAAAGTATAATGTTACACTCTTCAACAGAAAAATGTAACATTATACTTTTTACTCAAGGTAGAATTTCTGAGAATGGGGTATTTGTTGGTGAGTCTCTGAATTCTGTTGTTATTAACACTAGCAAAACAGCATGTGGTAAAAAAATAATGAATCACTATATGCAGAGTATAAACATAATAATGTTACAACCACAAGACGTAAAAGAATATTTCAATCTGATGCTGGTAAAATCATGAACTTGTTCAAGAAAGTAACTCTGCAAGTAAAAATAGGAAATACCAAATGCAAAATAGAGTCTAGGTTAGTTAACATAAATGTATCACTTCTGTTAAAAATAGCAAGAAATATTTGGGATTTAAAACATGATAAAGGTGTCATGTTGGGAGAGCTGGTGGAATTACATTTCACATCAAGTGACCATTGCTGCATTAATGTAATTGATAATTCTGAACTAGATGTGTTAGTTGTTAACAACAAAGTGAATGAAAAATAAGACAAAGGTCTTAATTACATATTTTCGATATGCCTTTTCAGATAGATTCAAACACTTGTTGAAATTTGCAGGTACTGACAGTTTAGACATCTACAATGTTATAGTGAACTGTGACATATGTGAAAATGCAGAAAGCTGCTATGATGAGTACATCAGAGCCACCCAGATTTATTGTCTGATGTCTGTAGTTTGGAAAGTAATATTATGCAATGTACTGTGAATGGCTTTTTTTATTTTCAAGTCGTCACTGAAGTATCAACATCTGAATATAGAGAGTAAATTACATTTGATGATATTTAGCAAATGTTGTTTTGGGGATGTTCTATAGATGCTGATAGTCAGGGAGGTTATATAATTTTTCTTGTTAGAGAATCAAGAAACTTCTCTCCACTTTGCTGGAACCCCAAGAAAGTAAGATATATTATTCACATTCCTCTGATTGAATAAACAACTACCATGTCTGAAGCAGTTGAAACGACAGTTTATGACATAGTTTATGTCACTGATTGCAAATCTCTCTTTGAGATAGTGAAGTCATCCAAATCTGTCACTGAGAAACAACTGCAAATTGAAATAAGTGGAATTAAAAGAGTTAATTAACAAAAGACAAATTAGATAGTTTCCATGGCATGAAACCAAGAGACAATTAGCAGAATGCCTTATTAAGCATGTATCATTGCCTTTGATACTAAAATGTGTGCTTCAACAAGGTGTTGAAGCACTTTTTTACAGGAATGGACAAAACCAAATCAGCAATTGGAACATTAAGAATTTTAGTCCAATTATTGCAAATTATTATGCTTTAACCAATTAAAAAATGTCATGCTCATTTTTCTCTTTCTTGGAGTTTCCAGGGTAAATTATGCCAGTGAAGAAAATACTTACCACTGTATTATTCTGAATTTTTTGTAATTATTCCAGTAAATCCCATTCTTCTATTCTAACATTTTTTAATAATTTTTTAATGAACTGTAATTATTTTGTTATACTTTTCAGCCGTCAACGGTATGTGTTGGGCGATAGTGCAATGAAAAGGATGGCTCAATCCTCTGTGTTGTTGTATGGAGTTGGAGGTCTTGGTGTTGAAATAGGTAGGTTATCAAATAATATATGTTAAATCAAGTTGTTTGGAGTAATATTCTTCTGCTAAAACTATTATTTCTCTTGCTATATAGATGCAAAAACTATTTTATTGGAAGCTGAAAAATATTTTAGCTCATATTAGCAGTTTTATTGAATCTAAATATGCATAATATATATTTAAAATAGTGAATATAATAATTGTGAAAATTTTGATTACATCAGCTATATGAACTAGCAAGAATATCTTTTACAATTTTGTACCTTTCCACAACATATTACGAATATGCAACAATGAGAAATTAGATTTTAAAATGTTATCATAAACCCAAAAACAAGAACGATCTAATAAACTTGCATTACCACCACAACCAAAAAATAAAATCTAGAATAGTCGTAGGATTCTACCTTAGAGCCCTTAGGATATGTAGCCCAGAATACCTAAATGAAGAAGATAAATATATTGAAAAAACTTTCAAACTTCTCCATTGACAATATCATTTTATCCTCATTGCTAAAAAACGAGCTTACAAAATCCACAAAGCCAAAAAACAGACATCACCAATAACACTTCTAACAAAAATTCATAATCCTGCCTTCCAACACTCTTTCTACTAAACTTGTAAATAAATTAGTCATCTCTAATACTACAATCATTACCACCACCTCCAAAACAATCGAAGATATAATTAGGAAGAAAAATAAACCCAACACCATTTCAAATGCCAGGATTTATCAAATAAATTGTTTACAATGCAAAAATGTTTATGTGGCGGAGACATCAAGTGAGCCTGCCTTTATGAACACAAGAGAGACTTGCATTTGGACAAACAATTTCACTCTCATTTTGCATCAAAACAATGCTTGACATAACTTTGATTTCACTAATGCCACCCTAATTAAAAAATAACATAATTCTTTAAGGAGAAAATACATTGAAGATTTAATAGTAACATTATTACCAACTATAAGCACATGTCTAAAACATTACATTACATTACCATCTTTCTTTGAATCCATTCTTAAAGAATCTAATTTATATCTATCTAATGCAGAGAATACATTCTTAAAGAGATCAGCCATAAATTAGAACCTTGTGACACCCCACTACACAGGTTGATTGTACAAAGGTGAAGATGGAACTCCCACTAGACAGACCCACATGCACATGTTACCATTCCATGCCCACTTAGGCATACAAGAATCTTCATAAATCTATATACACATAGAATTATCTACAGTTTTAAGACATGTGACACATGTCTGACAAATGAGAACTGACCCAAACATAAATAGAAAATACCAGTGTTTTCATCTTTTTGTCTGTTTTTTCTCAATCTCTGATGAAGCTTTAATAAAAGTGAAGTAGGTTAGAATGATATAGGTTTCATATTTGTTCTTTATTTTATCATCCTATTGGATTACGGTCCATATTTGATCTGCATTTGATCTTTAACTCTTAATTGTTTGAGTAAATATGTCTACAAACAAATCCCATGAATTTTAAAAAGTAGTACTATCTCTATTCAAAATCTTTACTCAGTCTAATCCATCTGCAATATATATGGTATCTTTTAAAAGCTTAAAGTATCTCAGTCTGATAAAATTTAACAACTTGTATTGTTTGTGCAACTTATACAAATACCCAATATTATAATGTTTTACAAATAAATTCAAGTATTTGTAAAACAATGTTAAGTTACATATTATAAGTAGAGTATTTCTATTTTTATTTAGGAGGCACGGTGGAGTAATGGATAGCAGCTCAGATTGAGGAATTGGAGAGCCAAGTTCGAATTCCATTTGAATCCATTACATTCACTTATGTGCTAATACCCTTGGGAAAGCTATGAATCCTCTTCTTTTCCCTCCAGCTATGGGTAAATAGCAGGACAGAGCGGGTTCTATCGCCTTGGATGCCAACTGGTTTACTGCAGGAAGAAATGGCAACCTACTGCTTTGTTAATCATGTTTCAAAAGATACATGATCACCTAAGCATGTATCACGCATGGCACATAACTGATTTCTATTTTTGGTTAGAATAGATTTAATTGCAAAGGTTAAGTACTCTAGATGAAGCTTCACTTCAAATTAGAAATTGATATCACTAAAACTGTAATTTATCACAACTGGTACATAGTTGAATTTTGTAACAAAGAAAAATTAACCTTATTTATACTTAAATAACTTATATTAATATCCAGTGCTGATTCAAGTGAAATAGAGAAATTTTTGAGTTGATTCTTTCTACTTTTGCTATTTATAAAATTTTGATCCACTCTGCACATTGATCTACAAAAATTTGACCACAGCATGTGCTTATCTGAACAGATTATCAAAAGATAATATTAAAAAAAACAAAAAACAATTTGCTTTAGAATTTTTTATGTATACCATTTCTTGCTTTCCTTTTCAAAGGTTTAGCACTAAGTAATTACAGATTATAGATTTTAATAAAATGATGAGTTCAGCTTGTTTTTTTTTTCCTCATTAAAAAAAATAGAAAGAAGGTTTGCAAACAAATCTGTAGACATTATTTCACACTGAATAGGATTTTAATTTGTTTCTCCATTTATTTTTGACTGAAGTGGTGAATAGCAAAGCAACAGGTTAGTGACATAAAAACAACCATTTGGTACAAATCGGTAATGCTAAACATTTTAAATTAGTCTTATAGGATAAATCACACCAAAGAAATGGCCAGTGTCAAAATTATAAAAATAAAACTTAAACAAAAGTTAAAACACAAAAGTCATGAACATACAAAAAAAAAGTTCAATTAAAAAAATTGTTGGTATTAACATGAAACAGTTACTGTTAAATATTTTACTTTGTTAAAATTAGTTTCTCATTGTCCTAAAAATAGCAATACCCAACTAATTATTTTCTCAGTTTTAAATATGTACACAATGTCAGGTATAAAATGGGGAAATATTAATATCAAAAGGAGATATACAGCTACATTGGACACAATTCTATGAAGACATATACAGTGATGAAGATAATTCCAGTTAACAGATGTCAGTCTCTAAAAACTAGAAATGCCATATATGAATATGGTATAATGAAACAAAAAAGATATAAATTCTGGCATTGAACAAATTCATGCTAAATTTTTGCAGTATTGTGGTGATGCTATTATAAAAATTTCTGCAAGTTCTTTTCAGTACAATACTAAGAACAAAAGTCATGACTCAAAGCTTAAAAAAACATAATTGTGGTAATTTATAACAGAAGATAAATCCAATTGCAAAAACTACTGTCCAGTAAGCTTACATAACCACATCTACAAACTTTTTGTCATTTATCAGTAACTGACCACCATAGTCTATCAGCTTGGCAGAAGCACCATTGACAATTTTTTTCATTAAAACTAATTGAAATATTTATTAATTTAACAAATCACTTCATATTGTATTCATAGATATCATTAAATTAGAAATTCTTTGGAAAATTCTTGAAATATTGTTTTTGAAGGAAAATAAAACACATTTGTTGAAATCCTTATGCCATGAATCTTCAGCTGCAGTAAAAACTGTCCTTGAATACAGAAAAGAGAAAAATAAGGTGTTCTCTTAGAAATCTTATTCTGTGCAGCTATTGTAGCTGTCATTCTACATACTGAAGAAGAATATAACAGTGGTTTTGCCATTCAAAGCCAAATTATTTCAGATTTAGCATAAGGTGATGACACTGAAACCAGTAACAATGACAGTAATAACCTCCAAAACAAGCTTCCAATGTAAAAAAAAAAAAAAGACTTGAAATAAATCTCAAGAAGATTGAATCTGTATTACTACCAACTTCAATTAAATATAAAAATTTATTAAACAAGTTACTGAATTTATATATTTGAGACAATACTAAAATCAAAGAATGGTGTCACTATACACTAGAGTCAAAGTATATAAAACATACATTCTAATATTTATATATGTCTGTATGGATGTGACTGTACCAAATGGAAAGACAAACTTTCTTAAGAATGTTTAGGTCTTTCAAAACCACATTATTCATTTAATTACTGGTCAGAAATGAATTGAAAATATTAAAATAACAGTATTACAAAATTTCTATCTTTGATAGAATTAAGAGCAAATCGCTGAAACATTTTGCACATATTAAATGGTCAAAAATAATATTTCAAAATTATGCCTTAAGGGATATACCTGGCCAAATAAAAAGAGGATGACCAAAATTCAGATTCAGAAACAATATAATCAATTGATCAGAGTTCAATACCTGTTCTCATATAAATAAGCAAACACTAAACTGAAAAATTTGGAAAGAAATAATGAATAATGTAAGCTTGCAAGGTGGAAGCCCTTTCATGAATTTGTTGTCATTGCAACCTTCTTCGGCAAGGCAGATAAAGAGGTTTTCGGAATATGAAGGAGCATTGACTTGATTATGATCTGTATCACTCAAAAATCATCTTGTTGAAGAACTTATTATTATTATTGTGCCATCACCAGCTTTGATAGTGCCCATAATTTTACTGTTTTCTATGTTGGTTGACTATTTCCAACCTCTCACCTTGTCAGATCTACATTTATCACTAAAAATTACTTTTGAAGAAGCACTTTGCTTATTGTCCTTTTAATTTTTCCAAATATATTTGTGATACCCACAGACCATAGGGCATATAATGTGGAAAGAGGTCTTGGAGAATTTGACAATCACAAGATTTGTTGACAGCAAGAGAGAGAAAAGCAGCGAATAACCTACCTAACAAGCTTGTGTAATTGGTTGGCAGAACAGGAATTAGGAGAGACAGCAAAAAAATAAATTTTACTAAGAGCCACAAAGACAGAAAGTTAAGAGCTATGATCATCCATATCCTGAAGGGACATGGTACATAGAAGAAGTTTTATTTATCAACAATCCTATTGTCAGAAATTTGTATACATTAAAGTCATGCCATGAAGTGATTCCTTTAAATGAAAAGTGAAAATGTACAACTTCACTCACAATAAAAAAACACAGATCTGCAGTAAGAATGAATCTTATGGCCATCACATAACTTTTATGCAGTATATTGTTATAATTATTCTATTTTATTATTAATTATCTACAGTAAGAATGGATCTATCTTCTAAGAGCTACAAGGGAAAGTTGTGGAAAGCCATGATTGCCCACATCCTGAAGGGACACAAGACATAGAGGAAAAAGAATCAACAAAGATATCACTAATGCAATGGCAAATATTTCATCACTGAAGAAATATTTTATTAGAGATTAGTATTTGAATGTATCTCTTCTCTTCCAGTGACTCTTTCATGTACATTATTATTTGTTTGAATTAGAATTTATTTTACCAAATGTCTAGTGCCATTTTGAACTTTGCCAATCAGATAACAGAAAGTTCAAATGTAGAGGAGCTATTGAATTGAAAACAGTTAATTTTGAAGATATGATGAACAGACAACTAGAATAGAAGGAAAATAAGGTAATGAATGAGATAATATGCATCATGCACATAGACTTGTGTATATCTTAACTGTGGTAGGTCGAAATGAACATATATACAATTAAAAATAAATTCTTTACAACTAAATCTGTTTATCAGATTTATGGATTGTAATGTTATGGTTTATACATTATTCTTGGAAAACAAGTTTGGAAACCTCTAAGCAAAAGCACTTCCTCTAAGCAAAACTAAAACTTCTTTTCTTTATCTGATTTTACATTAATATTTTCTGTACTTTTCGTCTCAGTGAACCGAAACTGTCATGCTCATATAAATAAATATTAACTAACATGATTTGAATTTTGAGCTTATTAATTCACTTTGAGCTTGAAAAAATTGAAGCACACAGAGAAAAAAAAAACAACTGAAATTCATATTCTATTTAAATAGTTCACTGAAGTTCTTTAAACTGCAAACATCAACAGTTGATCATAAAAGAAGGCTATAATTTCCCTAGAATTCTGCTGTATATTTGTATCTTCTTCTCTCTTATCAGTTTCAAATGTTGTGATTTATACCATCTTAATTCTTCTTCAGATCTCTAACTGTTCCAATCTCTTTAGTCTATAGGACTTCTAAGTGCTCCATTTGTGGCTGGTAATGCTATTACTCACATATGACACAATTTCTGCAACTTTCATGCAAGGTCCCGATATTTACCTAATTTGTTGATCTCTTGTTTTTATTTTTATTTTTGATTACAACTTATTTGTCGCTAAGTGTTTCTCTGATCTTTCATCTTGTCAGTTTTTTCCCCACTATAATTTTTTCTTCAATTTTATAAACTCTAGTCTTTCTATGGCTAAACCTATGCCTCTTCTGTGCTAATAAATACATGCCCTATTTATTTAGAAACATTTAACATTATCTATGGAGCATACAGCTTTATATATTAATTTCATAATCCACATCCAACATTTTGGACATCTTTTTGCCTAGTTTAAGAAGATGTCAGGAATTTTGCATCAAATGTTCATTCCTTTGATAAAAATTTGCTCCTTTAATTTGTTTTCAGAATCTTTTTCATTCTCATGAGATACTTTTTTCTTTTTTATTTCTTCTTGCTTAATAAATTTTTTTATATAATATTTCTATGTATTAGGCACTTTCGCTTACCATCCTTGTATATTCTTGTACATTTGTTAAATTACTTATATTGTCTTTTTCCTCATTCTAAGATTATACTTTACTCTCTTCATTTATTTGTTTAAAACTCTACTTGCCTCTGAATTGAAATAAGTTTTAAAATGTCAAAAATGACTTTGCAGAGTGTGTGTATTTGCATATTTCTTCATATGCCACTGTATATACAAACACTAGTTGGAACATCTGATTTGATTGCAAATTTTAGTTTGTTTTATTCATATATTTATTGCACAAAAGGTAATAAAAAGAGACAAGTTAATATATTATCCACATAATAAGAGGAGTATTTTTTTTCCAACATTTTTTCTTTTTTAGAAGCAAAACTCTGGTTCTTGATAAATAGGCAGCTATTTATCAAATCTTGTAAATTTTGTAATGAATTAAATAAAAAATCACTTTTGTAAGTTATTACTTGAATTCAATTTATTTTACAAACAGAAGACACATAGAAATATTCTAAAATCAATTAGAATATTAAAACTTGGATAATATTCAGATACATAAAAAAATAACATTCAAAAATATATATTAAGTAGTACTTATTTCTTTTAAGTTTTCAGTATTCGTTTTAATTCTACTAAATCTTGAAATATAATTTAGTTTAATTTCATAAAGAAATCTACTACAATGAGAAGTAGTGTCTTCACACATTAACAATGAGATTTAAATAATAATTTGATATACATTTTTTATATCAGAAATATAATTTATCTATTACTAGAATAATAAAGATTAAAACTAGATTTTTACATTTAAGATAATAAATGTATTACTGCTTTTCTAGAGATCATGTTACATGATTCTACTGATAAGTAGTGATTCTCAAATTATAAACTTGAATGCTTTACTAAAAGTTTTACTAAATTGACTTTGGAAAATTAAGAAATGCTAATAAAAGAGATTTTATATACATTTGTATATTTCTTGTCTTTGCTCATCTAAAAATAACTGTTTGCTATAGTCACTTCCACAATAGTATAAATTTTTTCATATATTCTCTATAAAAAGGACCAGAAAACATCTTTCATTATATCATCAACTTTTGCTAACTTCTCAAATACAAAGGGAAATGATATTTGATACATAATCTTATGTTTTTCTTCCTGATCAGATTAGAAATGATCATTATAACAATATTTTGCTTGTGCAACAGATTTTTGTTTTTACTGTAGCTTCCATTTGGTATTTTCTGTAAGTGCACAATGTTCTTGTTTGCATACTCTTTTATGACAATATCTAGCAGCATGTCTGTGACCAAGAGTCTAGGAAACAAAGCGTACGAGACAATTACTGACTGTATTGGATCATTTACTTGAACATATTTGCATTAGCAGACAGTATCTCTTTCTCTCCCACTCCTGCCCACCTTAATATCAAGCATCCCTTCTCTAGGTGATACTCCATACAACAAAACATGTCAGCATCACCTTCAATATTTAAGGAAGGCTCTCTTTTCATGCATCACTTGAAAAATGATGTGTATTTTTAACAGATGTTATTTTTTCTTCATATTTTGTTCAAATTCACCTTTTCTTTCCCCTTGATAATTCTCTATCTATTGGGTAATGTCCCAGTCACATGACATTTACATCTTTATAGGTAGCATCCCATTCAGTTGCTAATGATGTTATGCCAGTAGTGTAAACATAGCATCAAAGCCTTCTTATAAAATGTAACTTGTTCGTGAAATTTCTTTTTCATAAACTAAACAGGTTCATTTGCTTCTCTTTCAATAATCCAATTTCTGACTTTCTTAAATATTTTTCTCTTTTCATCTAAAATAGTTTCACTCATTGATATTAAATCCCAAAATTGTATTTTTTCCCTTTCACAATTATTTACATTCCCTGGAACATACAGATATATGAATTTGCTTTCTAGATTTTTCTGATGAATTATTTCTGAGTAAAGTTAAAATTCTTTTGCTTAAAAAATCATTTCATAAATTTTCTAAAGGATTAGAAATATCAATGCTTAAGATCATTTTAGAATTTTGAAAAACATTTGGCTGTGCTATGAAAAGTTTAACTCAATTTTTTATACTCTACAAAGTTTTGTTTTTTGTTTTTGTTTTTTCTATTTTAAAAAACAAATTATAATCTATCTGAAATTACATTTTATTTTAAATTAAATATATCTAAGACTATCATTTAAAATAATAAGATATATTGACCATTTGAAAACACTATTCCTATATGTCATACCACTTTAAAATCAGATTTATTAAATTTTCAGTTGGATATTCTTGAGTAATTTAACCATGAAAAGTTATCAAGATACTGATATATATATGACATTTGTATTCCCATTTTCTTCTAATAAAGTATGACAACTATTTCTGTTATTATTTTGTTAAATAGTAACTTCTCACTGGAGTTGAATTAGATCATTACAATTCAGGTTAATGATAGAGAATTAAATTATTCTTATTTATATCACCCATGATACAATTCCATCAGGTTATGCTAGTAATGTACTTATGTTAATATAATATTTTCCTTTCAGAAAAAGATAAAATTTTCTTTGGACTGTTGTATTTGTCAGATCATTAAAAATTCAAATTTGGTTGCTTAGTTACTATAATTTTTATGCACTGAGATAATTACTTTATCAACTACCCAAATTAATGATTATACAATTCTTACTATCTCTGCTGATTGTTTGCAAAGAACTGCAATTAAATATACATGTCCTCATTTTATTTTTGCCTTATCTTTTAGGAATAAGTCAATTACAAAATAAATGGTGAAGTGGTTTTGAATTCAGAACTGAAGTTTCTGAAAAATTACATGAAAAACAGATACCAAATTTGATTTTCAAAATATTTAAAAATGCATAGATTCTATTTATTCCTTTTTCTGTGTCTTCATTTGATTGACAGTATTTTGCTTGGCACATTTCAAGCAAGATCATGATATTTCACTTAATTATAAAGTTTTATTACAAAACATAAATGTGAAACGGGAACACATTGACTATATACAATGTTTTATTCTTTACTTTGTTTAATACACAAACTTAGATATATGTAAAGAATATGTGTTTGTAAAATGCTTTTCATTTTTATTTTTTCAGCTAAAAATATTGTTTTGTCAGGTATCAAGGTCAGTATATTATATCTTGCTTATTCTTAATAAAATTTCTTGGGACTGCATTTTGAATTCACTGCTGTATTTTAACCCACTACAAATATCATTTTTCTACCTTAACTGAAAACAATGAAGAGATATATTTTCTTTTTTCTTTTTTTCAATGTTCCAACACATTATTTACCACTGTGTAGTACTCATTGTTAACTATGCTGATACTTCCTACCAAGGACTGAACTCACCATCCTTGGGTAACAAATTTGTGAAGACATTAGACTCCCACTCCTCAGCATAATGGATGTGTTCTAAGCAGGGGCAGTAGCTGGCTTTCCTGCCAAAGTGGATTTAATATTTAGGCATTATTTAAGTTTATTGAAATTTCTGCACAGGGTGATTTTTTTTTTTTTTTTTTTTATTGTTTGGTGAAGTGCTGTCAAGCAGTTTATTGATCAAGATCCTGGTTTACCATTCATCTTCTGTGTTTTTTTTTTTTTTAAGTAGAACTTTTAGTCTCTTGGTTGCATTAATTTTTTTTTTCAATCATTTCACCCCAAGCAAGCCAATAAAACAACTAAAACACAAGGGGCTACTGAGTGTTAGAGAATATGGGAAAAAATACTATTAAAGAGAGAGGACAATGAAGAATAAGATTTAAGTGGTATTGCATTTAAATTTTTGAAGATCAAAGCTGACTGGAAAGCAAGAAGCTGGAAGAGAGTTCCACAAGTGAGAAGTGCAATAGAAGAAACTGTTAGCATAGAACTTACAGTTACATCTAGCCAATTCAACTGTAAAAGGATGAGGCCTTACTGCCAATCTAGAACTGCACTTAAATTCATAAAGTCTAGGCACTATAAAGGAAAGTTCACCAGAACACTTACCATGAGAGTATTTATATAAAAGGTACAGGAAAGCTACATTACAGCAGTAGGAAATTGACTGAAGCCATGATGCCATGTCAGGACCAATAACATTGCAGATTCTTCTTTGGAGTCTATCAAGAATCTCTAAATATATAGCAGGAACACCACACCAGATATAGCAACAATGTTCAAAGCAATGACAAATGGTAAACTTATAAATATGTAAGATAGATTCTGTCGAGAAAAATTCTCTAGCACAATACAGTGAACCAAATTTCCCAGCTGCATACTTAGCAATTAATTCAATATACTCTTTCCGCTTTGTGTCAGCAGAAAACATTAGTCTAAGAAGATACAATGAGTCACTCTCCTGAAAGCTAGCATCAGCCATGCTGATGGAAAGCAAAAAATTTTCTCTCAAATGATTAAAAGAGGGCAGTTTAGTTTTGGAGGTGTTAAAATTAACAACAGATCATAAATCATTTTTAAGATCAGCTGCTAATCTGACCATATCAAACTGATCAGACTTACTATTAAGACAGGAGTAAATAGGTTTGTTATCAACATAGACACCAAGTTGAGAACTGATGACAAAATTAGGCACAACATAGATGCAAAGATAGAACCCTGGGGAACAACTGCATTAAGGCAAATAAATCAAGAGTGGCTGTTGAAGACAGCTTTCATTTTGTGATTTGATAAGAAAGACTGAATCTGTTCAAAAATTTATCCAGAAATACCATAAGCTTTCAACTAGTAGAGAAGACCAGTTTGCCAAACCCAGTCAAATATCTTTGAGATATCCAAAGTGACAACATTCTTATCACATATTCTTACCTAAAATTTGATAGACTCTTTCAGCAATAATCCTTACCACACAGCCATATTGCTTATCTGAAAGAAGACCCTGCAAAGTGATAATATTAATCAATTTAGAGTTAATTAGAGCCTCTAGTATTTTGCCAAAAAGAGGTAGAAGGCTAATAGGTCGATAGAAGGATCAGATGGTTTACTCTTAAAGACTGGAACTACAGAAGAGGATTTTCAACATGCAGGAAAGCAAGAAGTAGCAAGGCATTTATTGTAGAGCTTACAGAGAACAGGGTCCAGTTCAGGAGTACATTTCTTAAGGACTATTGTAGGGATACCATCAAGTTTACATGCTTTGTGGGGATATAGTTTAGAGATGATAGCAGTAACCATGGATGAATAGAGACTCAGTTCTAAATGGAAAGTCAGGCAAAGATACTCCAGATGAGTCAAGAGTAGAATTTGAAGAGAATTTACTAGCAAAACATTCTGCTTCATCAGTAGAAACATTAACACCTCAAATTGAGTGAAAAGAGGAGGAATAGAAGATTTACTCTTATTTTTACACACTATTACAGAGCCACTGGTACTCACATGAACCAAACTTGTTAGAGACTATACGGTACCTTTTGCTGTCAGCAAGCAAAGTCTTAGCCTCTTTGAGGACACGTTTACAATTATTTTGTATGGACACAAATAGGTCTGTCGTGATCAGAATATTATGCTGATACACCCGGAAAAATGACAGTAAATAGGATGTATGAAGATTTAATTTGAATTTATTGCATTTTTAAAGTAAGTATAGATTTTAAAGGAATTTCTCCAGTTTTGCTTCATAAAAAGATGAAAGAAATTACTTGAAATTTATATAATTTTGAATAAAATATTTAAATTGGGATGTAGAACAACTGATAAATAGTTTTAATTTTGACATTAGATTATCTATTAATAATCAAACTAAATAAAGCTACTTATAAATTTAAAATTTTTATTAGCAATTTGCTACCAAGAATGATGCTTTTCTGAAATAACTTATTTTCTCTTCTACCTGGTAAGTAAATGATTTATTATTATTTCCTTAATAGGCATGTGCAAAATTTTCCATCACCCTCTTTATTGAAAACTTGAAACAGTAGAAAATCAGTTGTTTTGTAAATAAAAAATACTGGAAATTATTACACACACCTAATATTATCATTATTTATAGAATAAGAATGTATATCGTAAATACCATCTGATCTAACAAATAATATTATTTACTAAGTCTATTGAAGAATATGTATACAGATCTTTGATTTATAAATAACTTCTTTGGAAAAAATATTTTATTAAGCCATAACCTTATTTTATGCAATTTATCAATATTTGTGAATTAACTTACTGTCTAGTTTAGCATATAAAAATGTAACTATTTATCTCAATTAATAATTCATATTTCAGCTCATAGTATGATTTGCATTAAATAAAAATGTTTTACTATACTTACATTAACAGAATTAATAGAAAATGGTGCATGTATACCTAACATAGAATTATTGTGTGAAAAAAAAACACTAATAAAAATAATTATTTTATGTATCACTTTATAACAAAGATTAAAACAAAGAAATGGATCCATCTGAATTTTATGCTTTTAAAGTTGATAAAATGTCTAAAGCAAATTATTTCTACTGAAAAAGAAAAAAATATCTCAATTTTAATGATAGGGGATTTTATATGTCTAATATTGTTTCAGTTCACTTTCTATACATCAGTATTTATATCATCTCTGGTTCTTGTTCAAGAAATGCAAATCATTTCAGCTTCATTTTTGAAAAATCATACACAGAATATGACCCAGCTTTACTTTCTTGTAATACATATAAGAAGAGTTCATCTTTAGATAATCTCTTTTCAAATATAAATGTTATCTTGCTAGAATTATTAAAGAAATATTTATGTCCCATAACCATTGGTAGTACTTAATTTTTTTTTTTCATTTTTGAACCATCTACATCTACTATGAAGGATGTGTTAAGCAAGCACATGTAAATGCTTCAAGTGTTATGTGGTTTTCCTGTTGGTTGATGAAATGTCCATTGTTTCACTCAAGAAAGACTGCTTAGATTAAATGCTGATTCTACATATTCTATGAATAAAATTGCTTTTTGATTGTCAACATTGTTTAAATATATAAAATTTTACTTGATGTTGCCCAAAAAAAAACTTCTCAGTTTCTCAATAACATTCATTTTTCTTAAACAAATCAGCATGAAGAACAACAGTAAAGATATATAAATGAAATAAAAACAGGATATTTTCTCTCAGTTTTGTCTTAATTAAACATTATAAAATCTGTCTATATTTTACTCTCAAGATCAGCATCTAATACATGTTCCTTTACATCTAATAGAATAAAAAAAAAACTAGTCTGTTATTTTCAACTTTTATTTACTTTGATGTAAAGTGATTTTCATTCCCAATTTAAAAACCATTGAAAATTCAAATGAAAATAAAGAACTACAATAATTTAGTAATTTTAAGTGTGACATTTCAATTAAAATGTATCCTTTTATTAAGTTTTAGTGTTCCAAATCAAAACACACTAAGAAAAAGTACCATTCATAGAATATAATATGATTTTATTATATATTGTAGGTATTATAATGTTAAAATTACAAAACAATATCTATTGATTTTAATTGCAATATATACAGTAATATGCAAATAATCTTATATAATGCATTTTTCTTATTAGGTGAAATGGAAGTAATTTTGATTTTCATCATGTAACTTACTCAATACAATGAGTTAAGCTTTATTTTCAGTGGTTACTTATTCTTTATCTTTTTTTAAATCATTTCTGTTTTTAAGATTCTTTTCTTTTATTCATTAACTAATAGAAAATGTTAAGAAACTAACTTAAACTTTCTAAATTGAAACTTATATTTATTATATGTCTTTCTATTCAAACCAACATGACATGCTCATTTTGATTGTTATACCCATAACCTTTCAACCATTTTACTCTACAGCCTTCAGATATTCCTCAGGCTTAGTAACCGTCTCATAATTTTAATCTTTTTATTCAATCCATGGAGGCAGATTGTACTCATTTCATTTTCCATGTTTTGGGGATATCGTATAGAATAATTCTCTCTTGTCTGTTTACCTTTGTGTCACTTGTTAGTTTCCTCCATTGACCCAAAATAGATGACTTTTCCACATTATTCAAGCTAGTGTGACACTATTTAGCTATGGTAATTGGCTAACTAATTAAGCATGGAAATTAAAAACAAGAAATACTTAAGGTGAGAAAGAGCTAGAACGAAAGACATACTGGGCGACATTATTTTTTTTAAC